AATAGTAAATTACAGGAAGAACAGAAAATATGTTCTTGAAGCTCACAATCTGGGAATGACTTTAAAAATCGATATTTAGACTTGTACACTGGGGTTGGAAAATGCAGATCCAACAAGTCTAGTTGACTTTTTAGACAAATTTGAGACCAATTGTACCTTAAAGCCATTGCCATTATTAGATGCTCACTTTCTTTCCGGCTTATTTTACTACCAAACACTATGGGAGACCATTCCTGCAATATAATAACATACATATTAGCATTTGTGCTACTTTTAACATCTTAAGTTAGGATCCTAAAACGTCACGTGACCTCTCCATAAGACCTATGATCTATACGTATATTGTCAGACGTGACTTGGTTCAGTCAAGACAGCGCCCACGTATTGGCACACTGGCGTACAACTGATTTTACAATAGAGTGCACCTAAGAATGCAATTAATACAGCCGCTCGTGGCGGGGCGGTTGTGGCTGAGTGGTCAGCGTAAAGTTTCGCGAATCCTTAGTTGACGGGTTCGAGCCCCTGCTCCGCCTTTTTGGTGGAGCGTTTCACTACAATATTCCGGACTCTTTAATCCATTTATTTAAAAAATCGGAATTACCCATCTACACGAGATCCCCTGAAGCTTGTTCCGTAACAATATTAAGATTCGGCGTATCACGATACTCTTAGCGATACGACGACACGAAGGGGTGTCTTTGAAAGTTGTTTTTGTGCTGCGCGGCTTGTTGTGAAATATAGTTATGCCACAGTAATATTGAGGTAATAATGTACACTGTGTGGCTCTGACTGATTTTTCTCTATGGCCCCCTAAGAATTTTTATGACACTCAGTGTCACTCAATCAATTCAGTATCGCAGAAAATCGTCGTTCTTCAAACACTATCATTAATTATCGTCAGTTCACAGTAATAATTACCTCAACAACCTTAACATGACAAAAACACAAAAAAATCAGAAATTTAAATATGCAAAAAGGTGTGTAGAATTTTATAACGTATACATATATCAAAAGCATGGAAAACTTTTTTTTATATTGTAATATCATTAAAACGGCACGGACCATACTTTTATTTCATTGGAAGATGAATTATAGTTACATTTCCCATATTGTACTCGTTGTTAAAAGCAATCGTAATATATTTTTGTAATTATTAACAAAAAAAAGGCATTTTTAAATGGCTTGGTCGTAAGGGGCCTTGTTAAAACGCTTGAATTGCAAATTAAATGTCTCGAAAACGGCACGGCAAATCTTTATACCGTGTGACGGTATGTATCCAAGACAGGGAAAGTGGAGGATATTTCTACTTGCTTACGGAGAAGTCACGTGACGTTTTGCAATCTCAATATACTAATGCTTTAATATACATAGAGGGAAAAGAATACAGTGCACGAGTACTGCGTTGGCGTGTAAGCGGCAGCGTGATTAGAGTTCAGAGCGAATGCTACTGTGTGAGAATCCCATCTCTCTATCTACAAATTCGTTCTTTTTATGTACTTTAATCGAGTGGTAGATACTTTTTGGTGCACTCTACTCTTATAGCGTTTACGAGTAACAAAACTTTTTCAAATAACACAAACATTTATAAATCTTTTGCTGATGCTTTCAAAACAGAAAAATATTTAACTATTGATGTGATACTAGCATAAGTATTGTTGCATATGATACTGTTATATACAAACTAAATAGCACTTGTACTGATAGACGTATTTAGAAAATAGCACATTGATCCGGGCAATGAATCAATTACGTTATGTTGCTCAAGTAACGTACTTCTATTACATTATATATATATAGTACCTATTTGTATGATATCCCTTTATGAGATAAGCACTATTTTAATCTAAAAATTTTGAAGAAATATTAGAAGAAAAATTTTAGAAAGTAGTCATTACTGAAATTTTCTGGTATGAATATTGCAAGAACATACGGAGGATTTATTGCAAGAAAACATGCAGAAATTCTTGCAAGAACTTATGCAGGATTTCTTGTACGATACACAGCAAGAACTCCGACATAATGTTGATATGATATGAAAGTATACTGCACTATCTTTCAGGCTACTGTATTATATGAAATGTTACCATCTGGGTGATAATTCCAAAACAAGGGGATTCAGGTAATATTTTAGGAATTAAAAAAAAAAAATTTAAAAACTTTATTTATTTAAATAGAAGTGAAATAAGCTGAATCCCCTTGTTTTGGAGTTATCATCCGCATGGTAACATACATTGGTAACTGCAAATAACTTATTACGATATTTTGCAGTTATTTCTAAATGAAAAATTTTTTTCTTTTTCCAATTAATGATTCCATAGATTTTTCTGTATGAAATTACAGATGGCACCACCAAGCTCAAACTCCTTGTGTTATACCATATATAAAACCGTATGTAATGCCATGTGACTTACCTAAAGGTATTACAGAAGTAATTCCCCATAAAATTCCGTCATTTTTTTTAGGTGGGTAGTAAATAGTATTTACCTCATCTTGATTATCATGTACCGGAACCAATTCTTCTTCATTGTCACTAAATGGATTCTCATTGTAAAAGTTATCATCAGGCTCATCCTCACCACTTGTTACTGAATTAATATTCCTGCTGTCATCTATACGGCTATCACTGTCTGTATCCTCATCATGTGATCTTACTTCATATTCTGATACATCGTATTCTTGATATTGTTCTTGTTCAATAGATGAAACAGAGTTCTTAGAAGATTGATTAGAATTCTGTTCGGAATTGTCATTATTTTTTGTTAATACAACCGTGGAGTCTTGAAAAATGGAAGGAGAAAATTTTTTTGTTGATGAGTCACAAAAGGATTGTGATTTTAATGACCCAGCGGTAGGAATTGAAATTAATGCTTCAGGAGACAAATCTTTTGAAAAGGTAAAAAACTGCTGTAGTTTGGCATAAAATAAGAATTTATTCTCGTACTCTAATTAAATATGAAAGCATCTAAGCATCATTTCATATTAACGGGGTTTTAGTCATTTCACCCCGTGCTGTGTCAATTACAAATTGTATTTCAAATAAGTAAATGTTGATTATTTCATTGTTCTTGTAGATTGACTCAGTTAGAAAGTTCGATATAACTCCGTATACAAAGAATATTGGAGGACACAATAGTTTAAGGAAAGGAGATGTTTGTCATTTGACAACAGACCTCTTAATTAGAATATTCGGATTAAAGCGGCTAGCAACGTACAGTTCAAAGGGTATACAATCTGGTTATAACAAGAAAATGGGAAAGGCAGCGAAGCCGTCCTTACCTCCGAATATAAAAGCAGCTTTATGGGGTAATAATTTTTCTTACAATAAAACCAATATATTAGCATTGCATGCTGGTTATGTATACGTTTATCTGTTGCAACCGTAATGCTTGATTAAATAATAAACCTGTTGATCAACAATAAACGACAAACGTTATTTGCGTGTACTGGAATTCGAAAATGGCTGATAGAATTAATATAATACCCTATGTCGTGTAACTTTATCTAACTAGTCAAATCCAGTTTACTCTCCAACGGTTCTATCCCTTGCTATAGTCCGTGAAACGCTTTCTACAGTTTAATTCATGATTTTATTTATTCGTTAAAAAAAATTTCATCAATTCGCATTGTTAATTCTGTAACCGATAGAGCTCCCTTGAGTGACTTTGTAACTTTGACGACCGGTTTGATGTTTTATCACACTGTATAATGTATAACGCAGAGGTACGTGGGTTCTTGCATAAATTTTCTGTAATTATTCTTCTGCGAATTCTTAAAATATTTTTGGAGCAACTCTTAAGATTAATATTGAGCGATTTTTTCGTATGAGATCTGCAGATAATTCGGAACACTTACAATCATATCACTATTTAAAATTGTCGTATCACCTACGGGTTGCCTCAGTCGAAAATTATCAGCTATTATTTTACCTATTAATAATAACTATTTATAGCTATAATCGACTACATTAATAGCTATAATCAACTACAATGAAGCCTAATCATGTGCAAATAATACCTGACAAAAGCTATAAACATGTATTAATTATGAAAAGCTATAAATTTCTCGCGAATTTTAAACAACAAAATTTACGTAATGATCTTATTTTTTGTAAGGTATATATCAGCTATTATAAGCGCTATTATCCGTATAGTAGCACTAAAACTGGGGGGTTCAAGTATTTTTAAACAATAACAAAAAAAATTTGTAAAAAATAAAGTATTAATTGTTTCAAAATACTTGAACATTTTGATGTTATTATACGGATGATAGAGCTTACTATGGCTGATATACCTTACGGAAAAAAAAGATTATATAAATTTTGTTGTTAAAAATTCGCACGAAATTTATAGCTGTAAAAAGCTACTTTTTTTAATTATAAGTACATGCTTAAAGCTACTTTGTAGTCAATTGTAGCTATTATTGTAGGTGATTATAGCTATGAATGCAGCAATAATTTATAGATAAAATAATAGCTAATAATTCACGCTAACAATTTTAGCTATAATTCTATTTTCAATAGCTATAAACAGATACTTTTTTAGGTTTTATTTGTACATAAATGTATCTACATTTTCGTTGATTTTAGCTGTTAATGTAGCTGATCATAGCTATATATACAGCTATGATTAATAGGTTAAATAATAGCTAATAATTCTCACTGAGAGTATTGATTTCATTGTTAATATGTTGTAATTTATCTAGTATCAATATTATGTTTGGACCAATTTTAGTTTTCGTGTTACTTTCCTACATCTCCCGACATAACAATTTTCACAATGCACAAGTCTCACAATTGAAGTATTTTTTGTGTATTTATAGACACAATTGATTAAAAGTTTTTAAATAATTCTATTGTTTTATAAAATATAATGTTTCCTTATCTCATTTTTTCTTTCAGAGTACATCCTTCCAAAGTTTGGCGGAGAAACAAAAATTAATTGTAACGACCCTAATTGAGTAAAGATCTTTTCAACAGCCCTTCTAGGCTTGCGTACTGCAGTCCGAAGTGGCACTGGAGCCTCGCCAGCTGAGTTCTCATATGAAACTACTCTTCGCATTCCTGGTGAGTTTTTCATCCCAGATGACTTCACCGCAAATCCTCAAATATTCATAGAGGACTATCGTGACCACATGTGAGAGTTGAAACCAGTTCCAGTAGCACACCAACATAAACCTAGACCTTTCTTTTTTTTCAAGACCTACGTACATACTCTCATGTCTTTCGTCGTAATCCAGTAGCCAAGTCGCTCGAACGACAGTACCCAGGCCCGCACAAGGTGATCGAACGAATATCTGATCTCAATTATAAAATCGATATTAAAGGATGTCCTAAAGTCGTTTCTACCGAACAGCTTAAACTCGCTCATTTTGTTCCAGAAGATCTTGAGATTCCCGTTCTCGATTTGACAGCTTCTTACATTCAGCCTCCAAGGCCCATACCGATTTTAAAAACATACCAAGGCAAAAAGAAATTAGATTTTAAAATTTCAGATAAGCCAAAATAAATCGTTTGATCTCTTTGCGTTACCTAATATATTTATTTTTTTAATAAAACTTTAGTTCCTAAGAATCTGTGATATTGTGAGTATGGTTTAATGACGTAGTAAACTACCACCATGTATCCGTCTTGTCAAAAGTAAAAGTTGTATAATGCGTATTTAGACGAAAAGACTAGTATGTAAAATATAAGTTTTTGGATTGTGTAGCGTGAATTTATATTTCATTGTAACAAAATTAGCATAAATTAAAGTCGATTGCATGTACAAGTTTATGGCTGCGTTTATTTTTGCAACAGTTTGTACCCTTATAACATCTTATGCTATAATAATTCTTGGCAACCAATACTTTTTACTGCGTTTTTATTGCATTCATTTTTTATGTCAGTTCAAATTACTATCAGCTCGCGTCAAAAACTATGTAAGTGCTCTTATCTAACTGTATGTTTATCCATCCATATTTTGTATCAAAACGCCTGTAAATATGTAAATATGTTCATTTTTGGCGTTTAATAGGGGGGGAGTATGTGAGGACCTCGTCCTAGCAGGCTATAGAGTAGGGGAAATCGCCTCTCTCCCGCCGGAGTGCGTTCGCTTAACCTTTACACGTTTTTATAAATACACTACTCCAAAATATTTGTTCGCAGTTACATAACGTCAGAAAAGGTTAGCTAGATGATAGAAACCTTGGCCCAAGGCAGCGCCATGCTTGCGCCGCGTAAATGACACAGGTAGGCCCTACCTTGGTAGCCAACCTTGGGCCTACCGAACTAAGTTAACTTTCCGATTGGGCATTCACGACATGTAATTTACGTCGTAAATGCGATTGTAAGCTCGTAGTTTTTAATTTAAATTAAGAACAAATAGTATGGTATGCTTTTTATATTAAATGGAAAATAAATTAGTTAAAAATAAATGTATGTATTGAATGCATATAGACGCCGAGAGGTAGAACAGTAGGAGTGGACTCGTTCTGAATGGTGTACTGACGAGCATACCTGGGTACGCGAGAAACTTTTCATTTGGACCGTTCCAAATGAAAAAATTGTGGCACATCACAGTTTGTACGCACACAATGTACCGAGGGTCATTCCAGCGGTGATTTGGGTCAGATTGTCTGCACACGATCTGCCTTTTCGGAACCCGTTTTGCTGGTTTGGAAGAATATTCTGGTTTTCTAACCACCAAGTCATTCTATTGTTTATTATCTTTTCTATTAACTTGAGGAGGCAAGAAGCCATAGCTATGGGTCTGGCTCCACTTTTGGGTTTAGGTAAAAAGGAAATCAGATAGTAAGTCCATTCTTCAGGGAAGAGGCCTTCTATGTATAATAGATCATTATATATATCTAACAAGATGCGTTTATAAAATTCTGGTAGAAATGCTATTATTTGATAGTTAATTTTATGGATACCAGGTGCAGAATTAAATTTAGACTTATTAATTACGTGTAGAAGTTCTTCATAGGTGAAAAATGAGGTAAGAATGTGATTTTGATCATCCGAAGAATGGTTCAAAATGCTAGGGTCAAAATGATTACCTGATATATATTTTGGGGTGCAAAGTTTGGAGAGACATGCGTTGGTTTCATTCAAAAACTTCTTATTACCTACCAAGCTATTACTTTGACTGGCTCCATTTGTAAAATTTTTAATTTTTTTCCAAACGTCAGAAATTTTAGTGTTCCTATTAATTGTTTGATTGTTTGGCAGAAATTTCTATAAGTCTTTTTCTTTTCTTCGTTTAATGTTTTTTTTACTATGGCAACATTTTTTTTATAATCAATAAAATTGAATAAACTGTAACGATGGTTCAAAGATTTTAGGCAGGCTTTCCTTTTCCTTATGGCTTTATCGGATTCTTTGTTCCACTAGTGAGGATTAGATTTTTTAATTTTTGATCTCTTCGAAGCCGAGAGAGATTGGTCTTCGTTCAAGAGGTCAGTGGATTTGACATTGTAGTCAAGAGATTCTACTATACAGTTATTTAGAAATTTAATTAATATTTTATACCTGGTAAGAACAGGTTCATTGATAAAGGCGAGAAATGTAAAGAAGTTGTGATGCTTGTCTAATTTTTCTTTGAATTTAAGCTAGTCCAGTCGGTTTAAGTTGAATCTATAGTCAATCTTAGGCATCGCTTTTGTAGCAAAATCAAAAGTTATGTAAATGGGATAATGATTACTACCCCAAAGGTCGTCAATGACATTCCAGGAGGCAACTAGTGCCAAATTTTGTGAGACAAACGTGAGTTCAATATTTGAGTATGTACAGGAGTTCCCTGATAAGGCGACATGAGTAGGATTGCCATCATTTAACAAGAATAAGCTGTTGTAATCAAAGTTGTCTGATATGGTTCTACCGCTTGGACATATTTTCGTACTGCCCCAAAAATAATGGTGAGCATTAAAGTCACCTAATAGAAGAAATGAGTCAAATTGAGCAATCTTGTTATTTAGCTCTTCCCATCGGGTCGGAGTAAGATTATTGTGCCAATGAGGGCTTCTGCAACAGGCCACTATATGAAGTAGTCCCTTTGCAGTGTCAACATATATCACCCCTAACTCAAGCTCGGTACCTCCCAAAGAAAAATCGACAATATCAAAAACTAGATTGTTTTTAACGAAGAAAACTATACCTCCACCTCTTTCCTCAGTTTGATACTGTTGAAACCTTTTAGGTTGAACTTCTCACGTGGGTGAAGCCAGGATTCTATCACTGTGATAATATCATAATTCTGTGCCAAAAGATTGAAGTCGAGCTTGTTCCTTATACTTCTGGTATTCCATTGAAGTATGTTCATGTTAATTATGTTAAGAAAGCCTAAAACAGTATAAAGTTTTGACTGAAGATTACAACTTATATAATATGTAATAAATATTATAAAATAAAAATAAGTGATTATACTTATATTATAAAATAATTTAGTTATCTTATAGTCTTTAGTATTTCCCTTCGAGTTACTTTCTGAGTTTTCCTTGCACAACGTAGAGCCTGGAATCGACAGCTTTGCCCTTCTCAAGATCGGCTCCTTTGTTTTTGGTCTTCTTCTTATTCTGGTTAGAGTTGTCTTGTTGTGTGTTTACATTGTTGAGGCTGTTGTTGCAGCTGTTGGAGTTTGCGTTAGTGTCAAGATTTTTGGATTTAAGTAGCTGGCTAAGACCTGCCAGGGTGTCTGCCGCATCCATAGCGTCTTTCTCTTCGTTAAGGTCATCCGTGAAAATCTCATCTTGAGTGAAACTAGTCTGGGTGCCAGTTTTAATTGAGTGTCCGGATATGCCAGGGCAAATTTGATTTCTAGACGCAAAAGCGTTGAAAGCATTTAAATCTGTTAGTTTAGCCTTGTAGTCTTGGTCCACCTTGTTTAGATTAACAATGTTGGGTTGGGTGTTAGCGCTTATTTTGGATGGATTGCTTCTTGGAGCATGTGGTTAATGATTTACCGCTGTTGACGAGTGAGGTGCTTTGTTGAGGTTAACTGCATTGCTGAAAGATTTATGGGGAACCACAGTACCGTAAATCTCAGCTAAAGCTTTTTCTTTTAATACTGGGAAGTCTACAGCAGTTCTGTGAAAGTTACCATAGGTTGCCTTAACCTTTGTTCTGGAAGGGAGTGACTCCCGTGCACTGCATACCTTCATGTTTAGGCTTTCTACACATGATACAAGCTTCTTTCCCTTTGCAACGAGAGCTGGTGTGTCCATAATGTAAGCATTTGTAGCATAACATAGGGTTACGTATATAGGGGTAAACAGTAGCTGATATGCCCCACAGATGTACACGTTCAGGCAATGATTCACCTTCAAAGGAGAGTACCACTGTTTCGCTTGGGATCCATTTGTCAGAATCACCCTTGGCAAACCTGTTACGTCTGTTCATCCTTTTGACTTCAGCGATCTTTGCACTACAGGTCATGTAATGTTTGATATCCTCTTCAGGAATGTCCACTGGAATACCTTTGATGATGCCTCTCCTCACCTGTTTATAGAATGGGAGAAAAGCCGACCATTCAAGGCAATCCACAAAGTCACTTCCCAACAACAACTTATTGGCCTCTTCGGTATCCTCAAACATTACTTCAATTTGGCTCGCTCCTCTTTCCTTGATATCGGTTTTTTTTTTTTTTTTTTTTTTTTTTTTTTTTTTTTTTTTTTTTTTTTTTTTTTTTNAAATGCATTGAGGCACACCGCAGGGACAGCGGTAGTGTGGGACTCGGTGGATTTTTTTTATTAGACCACCCATACCCACTAAACCCCCACCCCCATGCCGCGTGGCTTTTGATCCACCCCGGAACCGCGTTAGCATTACTTCAGGGTGGAGCCACAAGGGAGACCATCGCGTCTCACAGCATGAATGAGCTAACTCACCACCAATGGCTAGAGATGCTGATACTCTCGAGGACTTGGGGTCCCTGAGAACCAGCACCCTTTCTAGCGCTCCATAGTAGGCTGCACCCTAGCAAACACCACTATAAGCTTGATACTTTCCCTTGCTAATAGGTAAAAAGTACCCAGCGCAGCATGGGTCCACATAAGCCTGCCTTTCAACTCGGCCTTTTTGCCTTATTTCCGTCCTGCTTGGGCCTTACCCCTGGCCTCTTTTAGCGCTTTTTTAAATAAAGGGCAGCTCCCACTGCCTGCTTCGTGCTTATTGTCCGCCGTTGGGCAAAGGAAGCACCGTACTGGGCCTGGACACTCTTTCTTCCGGTGGTTTGAGCTTCCACACCGGAAGCAAAGCTTTGATCTGTTTTCTTCTCTACAGTTGCTTGAGACGTGTCCATATCCCAGGCATTTGTAACATCTTGTTACTTCAATTCTTCTTCGTATTCGGCAGCTTACGAAGCCAACTCGTAACCTGCCTTCCTCTTCTACTTGTCTGGCAGTTGCTTCGTCCACCTTTATCAACGCCAGCCACTGTCCTCTGGCATTTGGCTTTAAGAGAGCTACTTTGAGCTCCTGGCCCTTAAATCGAAAAGTTCTAGTGAAAGCCTCTTTGACCTCATCTTCCTCTACAATAGCATTCAGGTCCCGGACCTCTAATGTCACTTTTTTGTTGCTCATTTTGACAGTACCCTGTCCGTCTACCAACTTTTCAATTTGCTGTGAGAATGCAGTAGCATTCTCTACACCTTTGGCCTTAATAAGTATGTCTCCTTTTTTTGTAGTGACAACACTTTAGACTGCCACATTAGCCTTATCAGGGTCAAAGTTCGCCTTCATCGTCCTCAGCACCTTTGCAAAGGTCTGCCCTTCGGCCACTACTGTTGTTGTCGCATCTACTTTTTTCTTCTGGCTTGTTTTTTCGTTCAGGAGAATTTCTTCTTGTTTGCCACTGCCTGTTTTCTTTTTCTTTGGAGGCATGCTTTGCTGGCGTTTCTCAGGGCTGTCTGATGGGCTCCTGTTTCTTTTACTTCGTTGTATTTCCTTTAGGGCAGTGTTCAGGGTTCTTTTCTGTACCTGCCATCGGATCTTATCTCACCTGTGTTTCCTACACTGCAGGGATTCGAATGACAACCTCCAAGCGTTTGCATACACTTCTTCTTCATAAAGAAAGCCTTTTCTTAGCACCTCTGCCTCTTGAAGGTGTTTAAGTGCGGCTTTTAGCCTATTTTTAACAGCGTTCGCTGTGTTGCCGTACTTATCGTTGAATAATTGTAGCATCTCTGTAATATCTTTCGTTGCTGATTGGACTGTATCAGCCAATTGCTGTCGCTTCAATCTGAGCTTAGCACCATTTTCTTCTAGAAAGGCAAGCTTTTCCTGGGTCTGGTGGCTAAATACCAACACGTTGCTGTCCTCGGTGTCGTTGGTGCCTATGCTCGACAGGCTTCCTCTTCGTCCTTTGTTCGTTAGAAAGGGCCATGGAACATTAAGCAGTCCCTGATGGCCATAAGACACGTCTTTGTGCCCCCCCCCCTCCCAGAATCCGTGGGGCCTGCGACAGTCATCCGGGCTTTCACCGGATCGGAACTGCCGGCGGACTTCCTCAGAGAGGTTACCGCCTGGGGTACAAGTTGTGCATCGACGTTTTTCATACTGGCATCTTTTTTAATGTCGTACTGACCCACGAGGGCCAGCACTACCCTTTTTTCTAGAAATGAGTATTTGGAAAGGGTTAAAACCAGGGCAGCAGCCCTCTCTGTTACCAGAGAGAATATGTTGGTACACAAAGGTCATCCCAGCGAGACGAGCGGCAGATGTACAGTCCCATGACCGCGCAGACAACCCAACAAAACGGGTAGGCGTAAAGCACTAAGGTGCCGCCATATAGCTTCCTCAGTGGTAGTAAGCCTAGATTATTCAGGCCACCACGTCTTTTTTGTTTATGAGGCGTACAGCCATATCAGATGTGGTTACCCAGACTTACCTGGGCCTCATCGTCCGGCTTCACCTGCCGCCAGGCCTCCAACGCAAGCCCAGGATAGGACCCACCACACGCAACCCAGAACAATCCGTAAGTATCCGTGTGTTTGTTTAGTGAGAGTGTGGTGCATGTATCTGAGAAGAAGGTTTTAACCAACGCTTACTTATACTATACACGACGGATGCTAGTTTTTGTTGGCCCGCATCAAGCAATGGAGTGCCACCCACGGCGGCAGCAGAAAGCAAAGAACAAAGAGCACAAGCAGAGCTGGCCCATGCATCCACACCGGTGAAGACAAGGGGCACTAGTTTCCCGTCCACAAAACCACAGATACACATGCCAACGCCACACACGCCCCCCGACCCACGCCTCCGACCAACACCACAGAGAGCAACTCCAGCTGCCCATCGTCACCTTATGTCTTTAGAGGATGCCCCTATCCGCCACCCGGGGAAGCGCTCGGTATGGAGAAACTAGCAAAAACCTCACCCGGGCCTTGATATCAGTAAAACTAAAGTGACTGTAGAGAGCACTGGCTACCTTAAATCTGTTGAGTTTTGAGTTACCTTGGTACTTTTCGTTATATTTAATCCAGACTCCATAAGGTCTTGAGTTTGATGGCAGGAATAAGGGGACATTTTTAGAGTTTGTATTTTGTGAGTCATTTGTTTGCGTGTTGGTAGAAGAATCATACTGAGTAGTGGATCTGGCACTTTTTTTGCTTGGGTGGTGAGTTGATATTGTTTTTACATCCAGCGTTCTTTTCTTGCTGAACTCACTTGTATTTTCTCCAGTGGAGTTGTTTCAATTCATATCAGAATGGTCCAGTGGGGGCTGGTGAATCCCTTGATTCCCAGTCCCCAACCCATCCTTGCCATTCCGCATATTGCTACACCTCCCGGAGCCAGGGGTGTGCAACTTGAAGCGTGTCCCAAAAGTGAGGTGAGTTATGAGTTTTCGTTACAGTAATACTCACTGGGTATTCTAAGTACCTTATCTAGTGGGCTAGGCCCTGATGCCAGTTTCACTTTGTGTCAGGGCGAAACGAAAGGATGACGTCTTCGACGAGTTACCTGACTCCAGCAGCAGGAAAAGTTTACCTCTCAGCTGTCTACTCTCTATCCTACTATCACCCCTTGAGGAAAATTTTCTAACTCCTTACAATTGGAAAATCCCACATAGCACTTACGCTATCTACGGGCGAGCTCGGAACTATGGAGAGTACTCGAAGCTACGAAACATAAACGAAATTGTTCGAATCAAGTAGAACTGCGGTGTAATGAAGTGTTAACACGTTTGGAAAATCAGACAACAACCACTCTGTTATTCCAGCGTTACTCTCTCAAAGATAGCTAGTGTTACTCTCAAAGAGTCTGATTCAGCAGCCAGTAATGAATTTTGGAAACTTAGAAAAAAGTTACGGATAACACATCTGCTATGTCTGCAGCCGATAAAAATTAATTTTATTCCATTTTACCACTTCAGTTGCTGCTATCTTTCTCAAAAACCTGAAAAAAGTACATTTTTTCATACGATGCAGGGGAAAAACAATACACTCAAATCTAAAAAAAATAAAATTTAAAGAAAATAAAAAAAAAATAA